TGTTGTATATGGTTTGTCGTTCATCATTCGATAAAGTTCTCAATCTTTTTATCTGACTTCATGTTTGTTCTGCTTCGTTTGTATTTCCTTCTCCACTGTTGATGTTTTCATCTATTAAAGGAAAAAATGAATTAATTACAATCATAACATAAAAAACTCACAAGAAAAATAAAGATGGTACCCATATTATGAATGGCTACTGGAAATGTAGTTGACCCCACTTCCATATGCATGATTGCTTCATCGTATGGTTCACTGTTTAAATCTATCAAAAAATGATCTATTGAAGATATTCCTGGAGAATCTAAATCGAGATTAAGGTGTGTAACTAAATTAATGCTTGCTTCCTTTTGCGGTTCATCTTCTTCATCAACGTCAAAATTTGGTGGCTGTATATTTAGATCTATTCCAACTTTCATTTTTATTTTCATATTAAAGATTTTAGTGTGTTAATTTATACAACAATTGTGGTGGGAATACATAAACATTTTAGAATAAAAAACGGGTAATTTTAAAAAAAATGCCTGATTTTTTTGAGGGGAAATTTTTATGTTGAAATAAAATCTCTGTTTTTATGAGGTAATGTTTTGCTATTCTTTTTTTGGTTTTTCAACGGAGTATTATGGTTATGAAGTTTTGAAAGAATTTAGAGAGACTAAACAATTTATGAATAATTGAGATTCAAGAGAGAGAATAAGGGGGAGAAGAACGGGGAGAATAAATTAGTGGGAGAGTCAAACACCGAAGAAATCAATTCCTATTAATGGGTATGTGAGAGAGATAAATAAAACCAAAATTTGGTAAAAGGGTATATTAGTATATAGATGATTTTTCTCCTCAAATTTAGCCGTACTTATTGGGTTTCTTAGTTATTGTGCAAATACCTTAAACGTCAGATAAATTGGCATAGAGGGAGTAGTTTGTAATCTTTAAGTCTCTGGCCAGAGCTCACTAGGTGATGATTAGGGAATTCGATTCTCTAAGTCATGCACGTACCGATTACAACACTTAGAACGATCGCACAGCTATTGAAGTACAAAGGAGGTCTCGATAAACCAATGCCTCTAGTTCAATCGGAACATATGAATCGAAGGGATCGTACTGTACGTTAACTATATCAAAAGGCTCTTGCAGACACTTCATTTGTATGTAGGGAATCATGACGCGTTGTTGCTAGACGCCAATCTTGATTCGTTGGGTGATTAAGTTGAAACAAGCTTCATCTCAATCGTAACTCTAGGTTCAAACCGCAAAGAGCTGTGGACCCACGACTAGCTTACACCTGAACCATCGAGGGTCACACTGCTCGTGCACTCGAGTTCTTTGAATAAACGGTCAAAGATAAAAATGTTTAATATTTGCATAATTGGAAATCAATATGATTTAGTCCAACATTCGTAATTTGGAATTATGAATGAGAATAAGAAGAGGAAAAGAACTAGGCGAACATCTTAGTGAACTTTCTAAATTGTGAAGTTTCCAAATTTATAAGGTCCACTGAATTAGGGTTTCCCCTTTCAGAAATTGAAAATCGAGAATTGGCATTCGTTATGACGAGGACGTTTCAATGATTCCGAAAATATAATCGTTATAAGTTTCCGATCATTGAGTTGTGAGAAACGAGCGAATAAAGAGTAAAGAACTTAAGTTGTTGGGCCCGGTCCAACTTAAGCCCGTTAGCGCTTTTGTACAAGACACTATAAATACAAGATTTATGGGTCTTGCACAAATACAACACACACCACAAAACCCTAGCCGCTTTCTCACACGTCCACGGCCACTCTCCACCATCGTCGTCGCCCCGTCGCAGGAATCGGCGCCCACGCGCCGATAATCTTCGGTAGCACTTTTCTTTTTGTCTTATTCTTCCGTTTATTCTAACGTTTGCGTGTCTAGTGCCACTTATTTAGTATAACTCAGTATATGAGGTGAAATCCGAGATGAGGAAGACAAAGGAGTCAAATCACCGAGAAGCAACCGCCGAACAGACACCGCACGCGCCCTCACACGCCGCCCGAAGACAGCACGTGATCCATACGCGCCGCCACTACCCGCGCGTCCGTCGCCGCCATTTCGCCGCCGCTGCTCCCGACTGCACGGATTACACGTGCCCGATTCCCAACACAGTGCATACAATCTAGTGAACTGATCATTTCAGGGAACCCGCGTCGTTCCGCTTTGTCAAGTAGCCTTGTCAGATCTGCGTTTGTCGGAGCACGAAGGTACTCATCTTCATACAACCGCAAAATTGTTTTGCAAAATTTGCGCAAGGTCTCATTTGCGGTCGTCTCTGCCATATGGAAAGTTTCGTCAATTGAATCAGCGGAGTATGCGTAAGACAACATTCGCATAGCAACGGTAACCTTTTAGAGTGATGAGAATCCTAATTTGTGGGCCCTATCAAGTTTTCTTTGAAAATATGGATTCGAGCGTCTCAATATTCAACCAAACGTAATAGTAAATGACGCTTTATTCGGAACCGGCGTCTGAAATCATCTCCATCAAAAACAGGGTTGTCAACGAAGTAATCATTCATGAGTTGTTCGTGTTTACCTTTTCGATCGCGAGGTTTATATTTGCGTCTAGGAACAGAGTCACCATGTACAACCTCTTGATTAGCGGCGGCTTCATAGTGTAGACGAACAAGTGTATCTGCTTCGTTGTCTTCGTCAAGTATTTGCTCATTATACGCAACCCAATCAAATTGATTAGAACTCGAACCATAATTTATTATTGAAATATTTTGCTCGTAAAATGATTAAATGGATATATTCACGATGAAATATTTTATTGATTGAAACACATTTAAATAGGGAAGACAAGAACATAAATAAAATTATATGCAGACGTAATATCGAGAACAAATCGCTAGGTGACACATCATATTAATTATCATGTCTTTTTTTTTCCATTTCTTTTTTGTTCAGAATTATTTTCTCTCACCACATGTTTTGTCTTCCAGATTGCAGACAATGTCTACATGACTTAATTGAGAGATGGTGTTGATAACGACTATACAAACCTGATAGTGACTATACAAACTTTTGAACTGAAATTTTACTTTTGTCTTTTGCGGATTTTACTTTTGTCTTTTTCGATTTACCCTGGCCTTTCATATTTTACTTGTGCCCTTTCAAATTTTACTTTTGCCCTTTCGAAATTACCCTGTCCTTTCATATTTTACTCGTATCCTTTAAATTTTTACTTTGCCCTTTCAAGATTTACATTGTCTTCTACACCTCTTTACACACAATGATTTCTCTATATAATGAGAAGGGATATGTTACACAATAATTCACATCTTCACATCTACACTTATATGAGAAATATATCTATTTTTATATGGCTCCCACTAAAGGTTGGTCAGAAGATGAATATGTAGCTCTTACGAAAGCATACATTGCGGTCTCGGAGGATCCAATTCACGGGACTAACCAAACTAAAGGAGGTATGTGGAAGAAAGTTATGTCTAACATGAAACAAATTCTTGATCAGGGGAGAATTACGTATAATATTAGAAAAAAAGATGCCGTACTTAGTCTGTAGAGAAAACAAATTTATAAGTATTTGAACCACTGGTATTCGGCAACTAAAGAAGCATCAAGAGTTTGCGGTAGTGGATGAAACCTGGTCGATGAGGTAAATGTTATGATAATAGTATTTTGTATTATTTTATATTTGCATGAAGTACATTAATTTTTAATTTGTATTTGTACTATACTCTGGCATTGACTATCTATCGAAGAAATACTAAAAAAAACTTTCAACTTGCAACGTTGTTGGGAAGTTGGTATGAATTGGGTGATGTTAAATACGCAAGAAGATATGGTGGATGAAATTGAAACGGAGCCATTTCATTGGCAGTCCGCATTTCCTTCATCTCAACCAATGAATTCCCCACCAAGTTATTCTCCACCAGGCCACCGTATGTTTTACGCGATGAGCTACCACTAGTGGATTCACATACTGACCAACGTAGTAAGAGACTTATCGGATCGAAAAAAGCCCGTAAAGGCAAAGAAAAGGCGGCGCCTAGTTCTAATGCGGAATCTAATTATAATAATCAAGTACAAATACTAGAGGCCGGACGAAAGCTTAGGCATGATCAAAACATTGCAATCCAACAAATGCAAGAAGAACATAGAGTTATGGCAATAGATACAAGTGATTGCACTCAAGGTTCAAAAGTATATTGGAAGTCGAAAAGAAAAGAGATGCAAAGGAAACAAATCGCAAAAAACTTATTTGAAAGTTCTTCGGCCCATTTAGACGACGACGGATTTAATCCGTTTGATTGATCTCCCTTGTTCGATTTATATGGATACTCTTTCCTTGTATCGGCCCAGAAGGTTTTTGTTGAGGCCCATTCGTTATTTCATAAATATAAATCGAATATTAATTTGTTGGCAAAAAAAAACAAAAAAACAAAAAACAATTCCTTGTTCAATTAATTATTATTTTTTGTTTGTAGTAATGGTATTATCTTAGTTGTTTTCAGATTCTTGTTGTATTAATCGGTATTATCCTTGTTGTTTTTCAAATGTTGTATAAGTGGTTATTATTCTTGTTTTTTTGCAATTATTGAATTAGTTGAAGGTTATTTCTTTACTTTTATTTGAATATTGTATTATTATAATTAAATTATTATTATTATTATTATTATTATTATTATTATTATTATTATTATTATTATTATTATTATTATTATTATTATTATTATTATTATTATTATTATTGTCATTATCTATCATCATTATTTTTATTATTAATTATTATTAGTAACAATTATTACTAATTATTAGTTGTGAATATTAATATTAATAATAATATTTTTATTGTTATTATTATTATTGTGGTTGTTATTATTACTTTATTATTATTATAGTTGTGCGAGTGGAGATTGAAAAAAATAATAGTAAAAGACCGAACGGTTGGAAACGACGTAGGTAGAGGGAGAGAGAGGGAGGGGGAGGGGGAAACCTCCTCCATTGGAGATGCTCTTACACCATGTTGGCCACACCGGAAGTGATCTCATCCATGGGAACTTTCGGATCCGAGCCAAGAGATAGATGAGATATTGCTATGTGTCTGGAATGGCTGCAGAGATCCGAGGAGCGGCTGGGAAAAACAAACGAGATAGGAAAAAAATTAAGCGATAAAAGGAAAGAAAAGAACCGCATGAGTAAAAAACCCTAGATAGGCAAACCCTAGCACAACTAAATTTACATAGCCGCCCAAGACAAGCGCAAACCGTACAATCAAATCTGTAAGACGATTCAACAGGAAGAAATTTAACAGAATTAAGGACGACAAAAAGATAAGGGAGAAGAGAAAGAAGAAATCCACTGCCTCTCACTGGGAGAGATTATTCGCCTCTCACTGGGAGAGATTCAGACTTTTGACGGTTTTGTAGAACCTAAATCTTGTCCTAGTTTTTCATGTTGATAATATTTGTTTTTATCTTGGAATCTTGCATCTCTGTGTTACAAGTTTACAAGAAATTTTGAATTTTAAGTTCCTGCTGAAATTAATTTTAATATATGTGTAAGCATATGTTCAAATATGTTTTTGTGATTAAATTTCTATTATGTTAATATATATTTTATTTAGAACAATTCATTATTTTGAAAAAAATAGTGAACAACAATGTTTGTTTCAAATTAGTATTCTGTTGATTTGAAGTCGGGATTATAACTCCATTATCAGTTTTAAATCTATTTTGCTCGATGTAATAAGTAATTGTGATTTTTATTACACCACTAGTATAATCTAGTTCAATGGCTCATCGTAATTTGTGTCAAAGAATTTGAATTTGATAAACTTTATTGTGAAATATATTTAAGGGCTAAATGCAGTTTGCACCATTAAAGTATAGGGTTGGTAAGAATTACCCTCTCATTAATGAATTTAATCATAAGACTTTGACTTTGAATGATGTGGCATTTTTTCTTCCCAAAATATCCTTTTAGCCATTATATAAATAAAGAATATGTAATAAATAAAAAATTCGACAACCTTTCAAAAACTTAATTTTATTATTTATGTAACACCCCACACCTCCGATAATTTAATTTTCCATTAAGTAGCATATATTCTGTTAACATGATTTTATCTCTTATGTGCGTTAATTAGTTTAAGATTTTATTTATGTGATAACCGGTGAAATTTCATATAGAATGCATTAGTCCAAAATAATTTTGGATGAATTTAAATTGATCATATTAGTCATTATTATATCTAGAGATTAATCATATTCTTTTATTTTGCTAGAACTCATTTATTAGGAGAATTTTAAATCACATATTTGCTTAATTGAAAATCAATTTTTTTGTTGAATAAAATTATTTGTAAGAAAAATCAAAAATTTATCCCTCAATTTTCGGCTACCATGGTACAACACAAGACCACAATTTTTCTTTTAGTACAACCCTTCTCTAGGTGAGTCCATGTGCATTAAAATTTTCCTTTTTGAATTTAGATTTAAGTATAGTTAAATGAAATTGCAAAGAAGTCCCTCTAGATAATTTTTATGTTTGCCTAAATTGCAAAAAGGCCACTCCCCCATTCTTAATCATTAAACTTGCAAGACTCCCACAACTCTATAAATAGAACCCAGGCCTTCATGTGTTTTCTCATCTTCTCCACACATCCTAAAAATCAAAGATCAAAATCTATTTCTCTTCTTTTCTCATTTTCGAAATTAATGTGTAGGAAAGCCCCAAAATCTCTCTTTCAAGTGAAAAATTATATATTGGCCAAAGGAGCAAGTCTTCTTCTTCCTCTTCTTTATTTTCTTCATTTTCGAAAATTTCAAGAAGCTAAGCTTTTTCATCCTCTCTAAAATTCCTTCTTCTTCTCCTTGTACAAAGGAAATAACACCCTTCCAAATTTCTAAGAAGAACAAGGTGAGAATTTTCGAATTCTTGCTACAAGTGCTTCAACACCAATAGTATTTTTATTCTCTTTAATTTCTTGCTAATGTTCTTGTGAGGACCGAAAACTAAAGGCGGAAGAAAATAAAATTTTCAGTTAAATTTATTCTTCGGTCATCAATGCATGTAATAATCTAAGGTTTAAATGAAATAATCTTGAAAAATTAAGAATAATATTGATGATGCTAAAGTTAGATCACCTTAGAGAGTTGAATTATGATGAGCTGGAAGAGCATAGTGGATCACTGGCTCACGAGCTTGATGACCTTGAGATACCTGCGATCATAGAACACGTAAGCTAAGCCGGGGGTTGATCCGGCGGAAACCCCTCCGACGCTCAAGTCAGACGTGTTGATCATAGAAATAGTCCAGAGAATACAGTTAATAGTATTGCTCAGTTAATAGGACGTACCCGAAAGAATGAGTTCAAACATTTATTTATAGCTTAGTTGAGATTGTCGGGCCCAAACCTTACTTGAAGGTGATTGGGCCTCGGCGATATTGGGCTCATGGCCCAGTAGGTAAATAATTTGTAGGCCCATTGGGTTGGACCAATTAGGCATATCAAATATAATGATTTAGTTGTTATGTATGCATATATACTAGACCTATGTGATCTTAAGGAAACTTCGATCCATGGTTTTCATAAACCTACGTGGTCGAAGAAAGTACTTGATCCATGGTTTATTTATAATATCTATGTGCTATATCTATACTATCTATAAAAATGTGAATGATAAGAGTGGTTTCTTTCATTTTATGTATAGACTAAAATATCCCTATATAAATTATATATAATATATACAAAACTAAAAGGACATTTAAGTAATTTTCCACTTTGTGTTTATAATGGTTTTACTTTATTTATATCACAAATATAAATGAATGACTCTTGTTTATATTTTCTCTCAATCATACGTTCAGATTAGGAAACAAAAGGTCCACTATATTGAAATATTTTGAAATTGTAGAGAAATACTATTTTTAAATTAATATAAATTTCTAGAGATTTTTAATGAAATGTTATTTGCCTATATTGGTGATGTTATAACTTATATGTTATGATATACAGCCGTTCAATGCAAAATTATTTATTTATACTATTTATCGATCTCATTTTCTAAATAATTTATTATATTCTTAATAATTTTTAAAAATATAAAAATTAATTTATATAAGAATTTAAAGACGCAACTAATTAATATTCTAGGATGTTTTATGATAATATGAAAATTATAGAAAAGAGAATGTTTCCATAACTTTCATTTGAAGTACCTATATTTGCAATCATCCCGAAATTAGCAAATTGTTTGTTTTATATTTAGGGCTTGTTCGGTTATCTATATCGAATTAGTTTGAAAGATCAAATAGTATTTTACTTAGGCCTTATTTGCTTGCTATTAGGTTAGATTAACTAAATAGTGGGAGTTAGTAAGATGTTTGGTTGATAGGATTCAACATTACTCAAGTCTGCTATTAAAGTTAAAGTCCGCAATTAGGTGCTACTACGTCATGGAATTAGTTACACCCCCCATCATGCGATTAATTTTATAGGGGTGACAAAAATGGAAAAATACAACTTTATCCTTAAAATAATAATTAAATTTTATTAAATAAAAGACTTTATAGATCATTTACATATGATAACAGAATTTAACAAATTTAATACATGTAATCTAAAAATCAAACATATTATTAACTAATTAATTAGTTAAAATAGTAGGAAATTAATACAATTTAATCTAATCCGATCTAATCCAATATAGGTAAGCAAACAATTCCGTATAATATCTCATGTGATGTAATTTTCTTAGTTTTGTGCTAAATTTTGTATCAATAACTGATGATATGACTATTTTAAGATACTTAAGTTTAGTAACTGGCTAACATATTAACTGCCTTTGAAATTGCATTCATTATATTATACTTTATTTTCTCATTTTCAAAGGCTTATTTTATCAAGTAAATGACTAACATATTCTAAATATTTTTTTTATTCATTATTATATTTATAAGAACAACTTTTTGACTCATAAGTTGAATTCTTCTTTTTCTCTTTTGAAATTAAATTATGTTTGAACAATATGGTTAGAGTTTATCCCCAGGCAAAGTAAATTTTAAATGATTCGAAATATACATTATTTTCATCATTTAGTCGTTATTTTCTGAAGTGCTTTTTATTTTTTTTTATTTTTTTTATGAATGTATCTTTGAAGTTCTCCGAATAGTAAAATAAAAAAATAATTTATTATAATATTATACCCAATTATTACTTATATCATACATGAAGAATTAATACAGCACGTGCAAAGCATGTGCAACGCACGTGCACCTGTCTAGTATAAATATATGTTTCTATGTGTATATATATCTACCTACGTGATTGTAAGTGTACTTGCTTCGGGTCGAGGAAGCTAGCAATCCATGGTTTATGATCTATGAGTAATAAGATAATATATGAGGATAAAAACCGAGAAGAAGATTAATAAAAGTGGAATTTCGTGTGATTGAATTGTTGATGGTTCGAAATCTTTTGAGAACGACTTTGAGGAAAATGTTTAAACTGCTAATGCATGTAGTAATTACAAGAATGAGTATTAAAAACTCTTAATCTTACCTTGCATGTGAAGATCTAGCTAGAAAGAAAATGAAATAAATTGAAATTTGGTGCTACATTGAAAGAAAACTTCAAGTCTCTTGAAAAAGAGGGCTTGAACTTTAATTAATGAAAGTTGGAGGTAGTAACTATATTTAATCAAAAGCTTTCAGCTACTTTTGCTATATGTGTAAAATATGTGATCTATGATCTTTGGTTGACTTGTTATGTCTCTTACTTGATTTTATGATTTGGTGACTAAACTATGTGTCTTTGTGAAATATGTGAAAATATGTGTACTAATATGCTTATGTGTAAGCTAACTTTGAATATGTGAAATTAAAAGTATACACTAACCTCACTTGCACGTTTTTAAAGTTGGAAAATCTTGCGAAACTTAGATCGAATAAGCACGGGGTATGAGGAGCCGGTACCCCAAAAATGAGATGAAGAGTGTGTGGTTTGATTCCACGTGTGAAACGGGTTCCAAATAAATGAAGGCTTATTGTATAATGTTTTGTTTGATTTTTCAAAGGATATCCGAGCAAAAATGTTTTTCTCACACACCTAGTGAACTTACTTGAAATTGATGTATGTGTAAAAGAATAACTCCCTTGTAAGGGATCTACTCTTATTCCTTATGAAATGATGAAAAGAAAGTCTAAGAGGTAAAACGAGAAGGTCTAAGAGGTAAAACGAGAAGGTAAAGGTAAATTGGCAAAGTCCCTCAATGAAATAACGATTGAGGTAAAATCAAAATGTTTATATTGTGTATATGTGGGATTTGAGATTGTATGTATACATATATATAGCATAAATATATGTTTGATTGCCTATGTGTATTTGATACTTCTTCGGAAATTCCTATTCTCATTGAGTCCAAAAGACTCGTAGGTGTTCAAATGCTTGTAGGTACGTCGTAAAGTTGGAGTCGAGTTCGAGGATCGAGGGATGTGTTCATATGGAAGGCGTGTGGATCTTGTGTGCTCTAAATCTAGCCATATTGTTCTACTTATATAGTTTAATTTTAAAGACTTTCGATACCGTCTTAGATATCTATTGTCGTATTCTTCCACCCCCATGGGATCTTATTAGTAAGAACATTACATTTAACAATAATTAATATTATGATTACCTCTTTTGCCAAAATTTCTATATAATGGTCATCGATTAGTTATATATTGTGTTCTTCCCTGTTGTTTGATAATACGAATTAAACATACCTTATGTATAGAATAGCATGTAATTTTACGGAGTCATAGGTCTTCATGTTACAATCATTGAGGTAGGTCTTTTGCATCATCTGCATAAGCCATGAATTTATTATGAATCATTTTCCATAAATGTACACATGCAGAGTCATTTTAGGACATGCATCAATAAGTGAAGTTTTTATTACTCAAATAAATCCATTTAACTTGAAGTATGTTCCTAACGCACTTTTCTGATTTGTTATTAAATTTGCTAGTGTTTAGAAAAGTAGGGAATTTATCAAGAATTTTCAAAGCTCCCTCCCGTGTTCTTGATTTTCAACTATACAGTTGCATGTATTTAATTATTTCTCTCAAATGGCTAATGATATTTTATAATTGTTTCAAGGGAGTGATTTAGACCCATATGAGAGTATGTGGTTAAATTTTCAAAGTTTTTCCAGGAAGGGTTTAAGATAAATTAATTTTCGAAGTTGATCGGCCTAATCTGTCTGAAATTCCGCTCTTTGCTCTTGATAAGTTTGATTACTAGTCATGCATGCCTCTTTGGTCATAGTTGGTTAAGTGTATATGGTATGGTAATATGTGGGCACTCTTCCTGTGATTTTAAAAAGAAAAATTTATGTGTAACTTTCTATTTATAGAATGTGATTTTAGAACGAACATTCCACACTCATTATTTTCTATAACTCTCCCTCTATCATATTCTAAATCACTAAGTAAGTGTAACTAGAAAAGGGGTGTCACAATTTCAATATTGTAAATTTACGAATGAAAAAATTTGAATTTTAGTTTCATTTTTTGTTTTACGTTATGTTCTAACATCTATAGTTAATAAAAAGTGTAACAATTATTCGAATTTTAATTATGATTTTATAGTTTATCTAGTTATTTTAATTAGTATATGACTAATATAATAATCCCACTTTTTACTTATGAGAATCACAAAATGTATTCAAAAGTTAAAAAGAAATCTCAATTTGAATGTCTAAATATTTAATTATTTTTTATTTTTAAAATTTAAATTTTAGTAACTGAAATAAATTTTCAAGTCAATAATTATTATAAAAAAAAAGTTGGATGTTTTAGTCTTGAAAATAATTTTTTTTTCTTGCGAATGTTTAACGTATTTTTTTGAAATAATTGATATTTTTATTTATATTAGGGTCGTATAGTAATTAAAATGTGAAGTTAAACATAAATCAAAATAATATGTTTAATAAATATTGTATTTTATGAAATTTATTTTTGAAAGATAGTTGAAAAGATATTATTATACATGCATCTTTATATAAATAGCTAGAAGGGTACTTTGGGAAGAAAGAATGCCACATCATTCAAAGTCAAAGTTTTACCATTAAATTCATTAATAAGGGCGGTATGTGTTACATTTGTAATTTTAAGGGGGTAAGTGTTACCATCCTTATAGTTTAAGGGTGTAAATTGAATTTAACCCTATATTTAAAGAGTGTAAACGAATTTCTGTTTCAAATTATTGATTCACAAAACTTCTTTAAAATTATGCGTATTTAATAGAAGGTAAATCATTTTATATAGTTATAGAAATAAATTTTCAAAGTTCTTGAATAATTGAGTTAGGAACTTTTCTGTTGAAACAATAGTATTTTCTAGACTCCTCTTAGATCATATTGAACCATGAGTGTAGATGACTTCAATCAATGAAATCACTCCTATTCTTGTCGGCGCAACCGAAAATCAAACAATTTCAAGGGCACCGACGTTGCTACTTGGAAGAACAAAATGTTCTTCTACCTTACTACCTTCAACTTAGAAACAATGCTCAATGAAGATGCACCTATGGGGTGGAAGGAGAAACACCCGAAAAACAACAAGGAAGTCGTCCTCTCCTCGATGCGTGGAGTCACTCTGATTTCCTATGCCGTAATACATCTTGAATTGCTAGGACGAACCGTTGTACAAGGTTTATAGTCCTGTAAAGACAGCTAAACTTTTGTTGATAGTTTGTTCAAGAAAAACAAGTCCGAAGGTTCGGGTTATAGGAAATTTATAGTGGATAAATTCCAATGTTATCGAATGGTCGATAGCAAAACTGTGAGTGAGCAAGTGAACAAACTCCAACTCATGATCTATGGTATTCCCACCGAGAGTGTCATGAGGTAAGTGAATCTCATCAAGTTGCTGCCATGATTCGAACACCTAGTTGGACGGAGCTCAAACACTAGCTAAGGCATAAGAAATCAGTTATCAAATGGACAATAGAGGAACTCATAGCCAGGCTCAAAACCGATGAGGATGATAAATTTACCGACAAGGGTGGTCAATATGTGCCTAACGCACACTTAAATGCAGAGTTCGAAGTATAGCGAAAACCGGAAGGGTCTTACATTCAACAAAAGACCAAACAATAAGAAGAACAAGAGGTTCACTGGAGCGTTCTTTGTAAAAGTTCTTTATGGGAAATAATGCTTATTGTGGTTGAAGGACAAGGAACTGGTCCTAAAATTCACTTATGGGAAAGATGTTACTTTGAACGATGTGCTACAAATCGGATATTAGGAAGAACTTAATCAGTGATTATTACCTCATTAGCGATACTCGAGGATGGTGGGTAGACACCGGGGCTACACGTCAAATTTGCTATGACAAGAGCATGTTCTCCTCCTACAAAAAGTTAGAGCGAGAACAAAAGTTCTTTATGGGAAATAATGCTTATTGTGGTTGAAGGACAAGGAACTGGTCCTAAAATTCACTTATGGGAAAGATGTTACTTTGAACGATGTGCTACAAATCGGATATTAGGAAGAACTTAATCAGTGATTTTGTCCTAACCAAGAAAGGTTTCAAATTGTCTTTTGTGTCGGATAAATTTGTGCTAACCAAATGCGGGTTCTACGTAGGAAAGGAGTACCTATGTGACGGTTTATTTAAGGAAAATGTAGCCGTTATTGACAAGAACTAAGCTATTAAATAAAATAAGTAATATTTAGCTTATTTGATAAATTTTATTTTTGTGTTATGATTAGTAAGCAGGCCCGGCCCTAGGCTATAGCCAACTTTGGCCTTTGCCTAGGGCCCCCAACTTATATGTATTATAATTTGGGCCCCAAATATTATGTTTACTATAATTAGGGCCCTCAAATACAAAATATTTTTTTTATTTTCTTATTTAAATAAAAAATATATTAATATATATAGCATGAATTTTGTATAAATATAATATACCAAATTACTAATATTAATACGCGTATTTAAACCAAAATAAAAATATCCAAAATATTTAATATTATATTAAAAAAAATAATGTAAAGGGCCCCAAATATATTTTTTGCCTAGGGCCCCATATGGCCTTGAGCCAGCCCTGTTAGTAAGATCATATTTAGTTTGTAAAATTTATTTATGTGTTAAAGTTTGTAAACAAAGATTTTCATTCTAAAAGAATTGGACAAATTCTCTCTCTTATAATAGGTGTGAAACAATTCAGAATCACTCAACGCAACCAAGTCACTCAATTATAACTCAATTGTACAAAGAGGAATCACTTACTATCAATGCAATTAACTAGCAAAATATTTTTGAACGTAAACAATCATCTCTCATTTTATTCATTGGAAGGGGGTTTATATATGGGTTTCGGAACATCCCTCCAAAACATAGGAAATTACAACTTTGAATGACTTCTCAATTTCTTATTCTAGAAAATAAACAAAGTTGACTTTTGACTCATGACATAAATAGAAGATGGCCTAATTATCTCATAACGATAACGACAATTCAAAATTAGATTAATAAAATAAGTAAAACACTTAGAAATACCAAAAGACAGAAAGCTATCAATTTTCCGGAGTGCAGTTGGCAGTCCTCTTACCTTTGTTTTGTAAACCGTCTTTTTGGTTGTAAACCGACTTCCATAGCATTCTAACCATATATTATACAAAACTTAACTCTTCTGAAATCACAACAGGTGATTTTTCCAAGTTGACTGATTTGCAGAGACCAATTTTGTCATCAATTGTGTGTATTGGCAAGGCATGCTTGAATATCCAAGATTAATGGTTTGTCTCATCTCCTCCCATACTTTGATTCACCACTGATTCTTCCACCTCAATTCATTTAATAAACTAATTCAAATTTGTAATAAATTGTAAGCCAAATGAATTAATAGGTCGGAGTTCAATTTAATTTACCAATTTGATGGAGTTGTGGTGGATTGTTTAGGGTGAAGTCCTACCTTGACGTTTGTGAGCAAGAGCCTATGGTGACCCGACCCGAAAGGGCGTGATTTGTGTGTGGAAATGTCACATTGCCTGCACAGCACAACTCGGTCCTCCAAGCAAAAGAACCATCCCAATGTTTCCTATCAAATCAATTTTTCTATAAATAAATAAATAAATACACGTTTTATGTGATTCAAATAGTTATAATAAATAATATCAAATTAAAGAAAATAAAAAATTATGGTGTTCTAAATTGAATTCCGTTTAAAGAAAGTGTGTATGTTAATGTACCTGACAAGTATCACACCTGGGCCTCAGGGCGGTGGAGAGCGGAAGACGCTGGTGGTTGGTGGCCATCGTATTTCCTGCATGGTTTCTGAGATCGCAGCCGCCGCATAGCGCCGCCTCTTCCGTACAGCAAACCACCTCTGCCGCCGCAGCTTCACAGGCATCGCACTGTATCTTCATCGTTAAGTTATATTCAATGACTTTGGAAACAAACAGGGCAGAAGGAAGTGGAAGGGAAACAGAGATGTTTGGATTTGTACAAGTTAGTTGGCCAATTGGAGTGCTGCTATGCGGCAACTTCTAATAAGATGCACCGCCAATTTCTTTATGTAAAAGTAAAATTAATTTCAGAACCGGACCGGGGAACCACTCACTTTGGCGGTCTGATTCAACACCGAAAACCGGAATCATTGGGGGAAAACAAAATCTGGTTCGACCCCGTTTTTTGTGCGGTGGATCTGGGCAGGGACAGAGAAAATACAAACAAGTCCTACTTAAAGCTTTTATTACTAAAAACTCCCAACAATTTATTTTGTATCGAAAGAGTCCCATAACAAAAATATTAGTACTAATTTATCCAATTAGACTTTTTTTAACTCTTATTAATTTCTTATTTGTATTTAATCGACTAGATTATCTTTCAATATACTAAATATTCTTTCAATTTTATATTAATGGTCGCTCTGGACAAAAAAAAAAATTATCTTGTATTATGTATCACTTTATAATGAGTAAATTGCAAATATCATCCATGTGTAAAACTCAATTGTCAAATACCCTGCCGTCAAAAAAAAATTCACTCGTACCTCCATGTGTAATATTTTTTGAAGCACACTGCACCAATTGGGAGTTTAATTGATGACCAAGGGCGAAAGTACAAAAATACCCTAGGATTTTTTTGCAATTAGTAAAACTTACTGGTGTATAACAATTTTTTTAATATTTATTGTTTTAAATAAATAAAATATATAATAAATATAAATAATAATAAGAAAAATTGAAGGATAAAAGAAAAAGAAAAAAGAAAAGTAGTCATCTTCTTCGCAGCACCCCCAAACTGTACACCAGTACACCACCCTACCCCACTCACGACTCACAGCTCCATCCACTATTTCTCCCAGCCTCCGTCCATTCCGCCGCTCACCATCAATTCATCCCTCCTGCACCACCACCACCATGCACCACTGTGTTTTTAAGATCCACCGCCCACAACCTCGAGCAAGACGTCGTCATTCTCGGAGAAATTGGACATCAGAGAGGTGCAATAGTGTTGGAATGCGATAAAAAGAATTGCTTCAAGTGGTAGGCGAAGCAACTCACATTGAAGGTGGAATTCACTTGAGATTGGAATACCCATTTATCCTTCGCAGAGGTTGATTTTGTCGATTTCTTTAATAGTTAATGTTACACAAAATTCACCGCTGCCGATTGAAGACGACGGCCATGGTTTGCCGGCGAAAATGACTGCAAGTCACAGCTGGAATTTCGACGACGATGATGAGCGAAGAAGAAAAAAAAAGATGTTGAGGCAACTCAGTCATTTCACACAACAAAAATGAAGAAAAATCGCACAACTAGCGCGTGAGGGTCTTAATGCTTTGACTTGATTACACATGGTGGTTTGAGTGAATTTTTATTTGACTGAGGGTATTTGACAATTAGGTATTACACAGGGGTGGTATTTGCAATTTACTCCTTTATAATAGTTAATTAATTACTCTTTTTATATTGTCGTCCGTCCGTATCACCTTTCAATTGTTTCAAACACTAATTTTTATCAACAAATAACATAATTAACATTGAGAGAATTAATGAGAACGATGATTAATTTTGTTTTACTGGATTTTATAAAATTCATTCACATCTATAAATATTTTTAATATTGCATGTATTATTTATTTTTGAAATTGGAATAATATTTTGAATACTAATTTTTGCTTAGTTGAATACTACCTAGTTGAAAACCACAATTGAGTACATATTTTTAAGTTTTTTCTTACTTTAATACCAAAATAAAAATAAAAGTACAAAAATATCGGGCCTGCCGCTCGTTCCCCATCAATTTTTCTTTGA